CCCCCCCCCCCCCCCCCGCTCTCCATGTGGCGGCACAGGTCTTGTCATCCTTGGCTTCCCCTGCAACCAGTTCCTCTACCAGGAGCCCGGCACCGACGAGGAGATCCAATCCTTCTGCTCGCTGAACTACGGCGTCACCTTCCCGGTGTTCTCCAAGATCAACGTCAATGGCCCGGAGGCCCTCCCCCTGTACACCTGGCTTAAGGCCCAGTCCGAGGACTCGGGGCCCATCTCCTGGAACTTCGAGAAGTTCATCATCAATCGCGATGGCCAGGTTGTCTCCCGGTATGTGACTGCGCAAAGGAGGGGGGGCACATGCGCCCCCCCCCCCTCCTCAATCACCTTGTCCATTTGCCGGCCCCCTCTTCAGTGCATGTCTGCGGTTTGCCTGACACAATGCCACTCTCCTGCTGGTGTGATGCCGCGCGTGCCGCGAATGGGGTCGCCCTTCGCCTTGCTTCGCTCTTTCTCTTCTCTTCCTTCGTACCTTCTCTCCCCCTCTGGCTGCCATGTGGAAAATCCCCCCCCCCCTCACCCCCGCCTCTCCCCCTGCCGTTGCATCCCACTTCCAGTGTCGGTCCCCGCTCGGATCCCATGGACATGGAGGAGCAGATTAAGGCCGAGCTGGCCAAGGAGCCCACCTCTGCTTAAATGATGGGTGCGATCACACGCAGAGCGAAGCCGGTCCTCTCGCCCTTCCCCCCCCCCCCCCCCCGGGGGGGGCGTCCTTGCGCGGGGTGGCGGGGGGCGGCGTTCCCCCCCCCCCCCCCCCCCCCCCCCCCCCCGTCTTCTGCTCTTCACCAGGGAGGCGACAGAGAAGGGGGCAGACTGGAGGATGGGGTGTTTACCAGGGGCCGGACCGACGGAGACAGGGAACGGTGACAGGGTGTGCCGTTGCATCTGCATTTGTGCTTCCCCCCTCTCCCCTCGCCCTCTCGCTGGGTTTCCCGCCTCGATAGCCGGTTCGCTCTGGCCAAGCGCACCCCGATCGCACCCTCGCCCGCCAATACACCACAGTGCGGCGTGCACACCATTTGCATGTGATGTGGGTGCACGCATCATACACGTGACCTCACACACGCCGAGAGACATTGACGGGAGCACGCCCGGGCGCTCTGATGCCGGGGCCCCGGGTGTGTG